AAGGGGACAGGGAGCTACTAGTTATATTTGTTCACTGTACGTATGCTACCTTCTTTATCATGGGAACCCTTTAAAAGTGTATACTATTACTTAAATTTTACAAGAAAATAAGGCACTACGAGGCTAAAGAAACCCACGATCATACAGCTAGAAAATCATGGAACCACATTCAAATTCTACTCCTAATCCTTCTGACGCTAAAACCCACACTTACAAGTCAAAAGATGAGTTATAGACTGGGGGAAAATATCTATAACACATATGACAAAGGATCAAGGTTCCCAAACAAGCAAGGATACCAATAAAATAGATTTCATAGAGATAAATAGGAACACAACTAAAAAAGAAAAAAGGCAGATAATATGATTAGGCAACTCACTGAAGAGGAAATACAAGTGTCCAATAAACATTTGAAGAGATGCTGGCCATCACTGGGAGTCAGGGAAAGGCAAATAAAGTAATCAGATACTATTTCTCACTTACCACCTTGACAAAATTTTAAAGAGTGATACCAGTCCATTCAAGAAAGGGCCACTTTCTCACACTGCTGGTAGACATATAAATTGTTACAATCTTTTCCAGAAGTAAACTGATATGATGTCAAAGTTTTAGATGTACATTCTATTTGACTCTACATTATCACTTACTGGAATCTAGCCTTAAAAAAAAAAGCATCAGTACACATATTTAAACATATTTATTATAGCATTGTTCATGCTGAAAAAATAAAAACTGCTTATCAATAGTTACATTTGAGTAAATTAAACGTAGGCATATTTTTGTAACAAAAACCCATAACAAAATTTGAGAACAGTAAAAAATTTCCAAATCAAGTAAAGCCTCTAATCCCACTCTTTTGTCTCCTTTTCTTTATAGGCTATTCAGATATATTTACATTTTGCAGATGTAATACTACACATCATGTTAATAAGTTACTAATTAATAGCCTATGAAAAGGCCTCATTAAAATTCCATGCAATAATTTGGCAATTGTAAGTGCTTTTCAAAAGAACTGTATATCCATTTTCTTTAAATCCACAACTTTAAAAAGGTGTGAAAGTTAATATGGTCTTAAAATCATGGCATGTAAATTTATCAGCAAAAATTTTTTAAGTTTTTTTTATATATAAGAATGCAAAGAAATCTACAAATCTCATTTTTCTCAATTAATCAGATCATTTTTTTAAATCTGTAGAGAATACTAGTCAAAGTAATTCTACTTTTTAAAAATGTATACACTACTCAGTTAACCTCCAGAAAAAAAAAGAAGTATGAGGTATGCACGCACACAAAAAGGAAAGGCAAAAAGATTGGTAAAAGTTACATAATTTTAACATCATGTTCCTGATCTCCATTCTAGACTGTTTCTTCCCCACTTAGCTAGTTACTTGGGGATTAAATGAGATCTTCTTGAGATGCTCAAGCTGCTGGTTCCATAGGGTTCTCCAAAGTCCCCATAAGAGCACATGAGACATAAAATTATGAATTTTTCCATGAGTCTCCAAAAAACAATGGCATCTGTCCTTTTCCAATATCCCATTGCATTCTATTATACTTCTTATGGTACTTTAAAACACTGAATGAGACTGACTTTGATGTCTGCGTACCTGTGTTATTGGTCCCCACCAGACTGTAAGCTCTTAGGGAGCAAGGTGGTAGTTCAGAATCAGATCCCAAGTTTTGGGAAGATCTGAGAATTCAGCCAGTCCAGCCACCCATGTAAAGTCCACAATACTTCTCCAAGCAGAAGAGTCTGTAATGGGGATACATTCCCCCACCCCATAGCAGCTTATTCCTTCTTAGGAAAAGTGCACCTCCTGGAAAGCTTTCCTATAAATGGAATTAAGATACTTTTCTGAAATTTTGAAACTGAACCCCAATCTTACCCTTTGGTAATCCACAGACTAGATCAAATCCCTCTTGTCACAGGGCAGTTTATGAAATATTAGAACCTTCATATTTTTCCTTTAACCTCCTAACTCAGTTCCTTGCACATTAAAAAAAAAATTTTTTTTAATTAACTTTCTCCACTATACATCAATGTACCAGGGTGGGATAAGGTGCTTTATTCTCTAATATATATGTTATTGGTTTTATAATATGCCTTTCATTTTACTGTCTGGTTTTAAGAAAAAAATTTTCAGGAATATAATAGCAAAGAAGTCAGAAATTCCAAGCATAAATACATTGTTCCAACACAATGACTTTCTTGCCTCATGAAAGGTTTTCTCATCTCCACTGCCAGCAGTTTCTTTAACACTGTTGAGATGCCCCAGATGAGCAATGCTGGGCTGGGACAAGCTGCCCAACTCTACCAGGAAGAGTCCATTCTCAAAGGGAAGTTTCTTCTCACTTCCAGGATCCCCTGGGCTTTCTGGGCTGACTCAGGACTTCATATGCAGCTTTGATCTCCAGGAAGTGCCTCTGAGCCTCCTCTGTCCGGTGCCGGTTGTGGTCAGGGTGCCAGATCTTCACTAGCTCCCGGTATTGCCTATGGATTTCCTCTTTTGTTGCCCCCTCTGGGAGGCCCAAAATCTTAGGAAAACAGAAGCTGACAAATTAGAATCTCATAAATTGGTAAATTGTCAGGCACTCTGGACTCTCCCTGTTCCCTTGCTAATCAGGCTGTGGTATCTCTGGAACTGGCTTCTATTTGCCCATGGGAAAGGCCCAGGGCCAGATTAGAACTACAGCCTTTTGAAACATGGGCAACCTCTGGATCTCATAGCAAGAACCAGGATTTGCCTTTAATCACAGCTGCCCATTTTCCAACCTGGAGCTTTGTATCCCTGACAAGATCACCACCTTACAACAGAAATAAGCATACATGTCCACCAAAGACATGTACAAGAGTATTCATGGAAGTTGTATTTGGAATAGCCCCAAACTAGAAACAACAAGTGTTTATGAACAATAGAATGGATAGATAAACTGTGGTATATTCATACAATGGGATACTATACAACAGTAAAAAGAAAACAATTTACAATTGCATGCAACAGTATGAATAAATCTCACAAAAATATAATGTTGAAAGAAAGAAGTCAGATACAAAAGAGTACACACTGAATGATAACATTTATGTGAAGTTCGAGAATGGGCAAGACTACTCTATAGTAATAGAAGTCAGAATATAGATCGCCTCCAAGGAAAGTATAGATTAGGAAGGAGCAAGAGGAACATTTTTAGTGCTGGAAGTATTCCATAGCTTGGTCTGAGTGCTGGATACCTAGGTATGTACATAAAACTAGTACACTTTATATATGTTATACCTCATTAAAAAGTAAACAATACACAGGTATCTTTTTCCCACTCACTATCAGAGCCTCTGCATCTTCATCCATTGCACACAGAAGCCCAAAAAGAAGAGAGGACACCCTTCTGGGGCCTGACCCAGCAGACATGAAAACAATACTACTACATAATGGGCACCAACTCCAGTAAGGCTTAGCCTAACAACGCAAGCCATCCCAGACAGGAATGGGAGGGGCAAAAGCCTCACCTGGTTAGCCAGCTGATGTTTCTCATCCTGAAAAGTCCGGACAAATTCACACAGCTTCTCCCACTCCTGGAAGTAGCTGCAGCTGAAGCCAAGATCCCCCACCAGTAGCCTCCCGACCCAGTGAGGCAGAAGGAGGACAGACTCCATGAGGCGGCCAAGGAGGAGAAAGAAGCTGAACCAGCTCAAGATGGAGCCAAGGGTCTCTGCCACGAAGCTGAGGGTGGCAGCTGTATTGCCGAGGGCACTGTAGGCTAGCGGGCCGGTGAAAGCAAGGTAAGCCAAGCCCAGGCGGTAGAGCCTCACACTGAGCTTCTCTGGCCCACCTGAAGCTTTGTAGCGGCGATGCTTCTGGGCTGTCATGCTGGCAGCCAAGCTGATGGGCAGGATGGCTATGGGACGGCCATAGAAGAGAGGAGAAGTAAGAAATGCTGCCCCTAGAGTGTTCTTGAAATCTGAGGTCTGGTTGCCAACAGCAGCCACCAACAACACCCCTAATCCAACCGCCAGTGGGAGGCCCACTATATAGAAGTTGGCCATGAAAGAAAGGCTAATGAGAGCCACGAGGCCAAAGTAGATGCCCACGATTATCTGGGCAGCAAAGCGAATGGGACTCACAGGAGGTGTCCCCTCTCCTGAGCTCTGCCTCTGCCCCTGGGCTCTGTTGGCCTGAGCTACAAAGCTTGGGAGCTTCCAGAATTCCCAGAGCCAGCCCAGCCCACCACCGCCCAGGGTAAGCATCCAGAGCAGTGCATGACTGTCCCGCCCCAGGTACAGGTGGTGGAGCCCAACAGGGCCCCCCTACAGCCCAGAGGGCATAGGTCACCAGGAGCCCCTTGGCCATCCTCTAGGGAAAGGGTCTCAGAACAAGTCCAGTGGCACCTGACATTTCTCAGTGTAGAAATCTGGGGTCCCCTGTGGGAATCATGGCCCCAGAGTTATCCTTAGACCCTTAGAGATGGAAAAAGGCAATTGTTAAGACTATATCCAGGTCAACACAATAACCATTTCTTTTCCAATAACCATCAAGGGCAGATCTTCCTGAGTGTCCCTGAAATGCTAGTTCTCTCATACCCTTCAGTCTAGCACCTCATTTCTGTTTTTTTGTTTTGTTTTCTTACAATGACTCCGAATTAGGGGAGTGTGTTTCAAATGCTTTCAGTTGAGTAACTGAGAACTCAGCACACAGACAAAAAGCAGAAGCTTAAATTTCAGACCATTGACCTGCAGGAGTGAACAGGAGTGCGTACAGGGTCCTTCTAAAGTTCCTACACATTTTGAAAGTACCCAGTCCCTCCCCACATCACCCCCAACTCTGACTGTGGCTGCCCTCAGACACTTGGCCAAGGCTTTAGGCCGTCTCCAGCCTCCCCAACTCTCCCAGCCACAGAAACTTCCACACATCAAACCTGAAAGAGGTCCTGAATTCTCTCCACTTAAACCGCTCGGGAAAACTACTTTTTGACCTAGATTCTGCCACTCCACAGTTGAACCAATGAGCAATGCTGGGCTGGGACAAGCTGCCCAACTCTACCAGGAAGAGTCCATTCTCAAAGGGAAGTTTCTTCTCACTTCCAGGATCCCCTGGGCTTTCTGGGCTGACTCAGGACTTCATATGCAGCTTTGATCTCCAGGAAGTGCCTCTGAGCCTCCTCTGTCCGGTGCCGGTTGTGGTCAGGGTGCCAGATCTTCACTAGCTCCCGGTATTGCCTATGGATTTCCTCTTTTGTTGCCCCCTCTGGGAGGCCCAAAATCTTAGGAAAACAGAAGCTGACAAATTAGAATCTCATAAATTGGTAAATTGTCAGGCACTCTGGACTCTCCCTGTTCCCTTGCTAATCAGGCTGTGGTATCTCTGGAACTGGCTTCTATTTGCCCATGGGAAAGGCCCAGGGCCAGATTAGAACTACAGCCTTTTGAAACATGGGCAACCTCTGGATCTCATAGCAAGAACCAGGATTTGCCTTTAATCACAGCTGCCCATTTTCCAACCTGGAGCTTTGTATCCCTGACAAGATCACCACCTTACAACAGAAATAAGCATACATGTCCACCAAAGACATGTACAAGAGTATTCATGGAAGCTGTATTTGGAATAGCCCCAAACTAGAAACAACAAGTGTTTATGAACAATAGAATGGATAGATAAACTGTGGTATATTCATACAATGGGATACTATACAACAGTAAAAAGAAAACAATTTACAATTGCATGCAACAGTATGAATAAATCTCACAAAAATATAATGTTGAAAGAAAGAAGTCAGATACAAAAGAGTACACACTGAATGATAACATTTATGTGAAGTTCGAGAATGGGCAAGACTACTCTATAGTAATAGAAGTCAGAATATAGATCGCCTCCAAGGAAAGTATAGATTAGGAAGGAGCAAGAGGAACATTTTTAGTGCTGGAAGTATTCCATAGCTTGGTCTGAGTGCTGGATACCTAGGTATGTACATAAAACTAGTACACTTTATATATGTTATACCTCATTAAAAAGTAAACAATACACAGGTATCTTTTTCCCACTCACTATCAGAGCCTCTGCATCTTCATCCATTGCACACAGAAGCCCAAAAAGAAGAGAGGACACCCTTCTGGGGCCTGACCCAGCAGACATGAAAACAATACTACTACATAATGGGCACCAACTCCAGTAAGGCTTAGCCTAACAACGCAAGCCATCCCAGACAGGAATGGGAGGGGCAAAAGCCTCACCTGGTTAGCCAGCTGATGTTTCTCATCCTGAAAAGTCCGGACAAATTCACACAGCTTCTCCCACTCCTGGAAGTAGCTGCAGCTGAAGCCAAGATCCCCCACCAGTAGCCTCCCGACCCAGTGAGGCAGAAGGAGGACAGACTCCATGAGGCGGCCAAGGAGGAGAAAGAAGCTGAACCAGCTCAAGATGGAGCCAAGGGTCTCTGCCACGAAGCTGAGGGTGGCAGCTGTATTGCCGAGGGCACTGTAGGCTAGCGGGCCGGTGAAAGCAAGGTAAGCCAAGCCCAGGCGGTAGAGCCTCACACTGAGCTTCTCTGGCCCACCTGAAGCTTTGTAGCGGCGATGCTTCTGGGCTGTCATGCTGGCAGCCAAGCTGATGGGCAGGATGGCTATGGGACGGCCATAGAAGAGAGGAGAAGTAAGAAATGCTGCCCCTAGAGTGTTCTTGAAATCTGAGGTCTGGTTGCCAACAGCAGCCACCAACAACACCCCTAATCCAACCGCCAGTGGGAGGCCCACTATATAGAAGTTGGCCATGAAAGAAAGGCTAATGAGAGCCACGAGGCCAAAGTAGATGCCCACTATTATCTGGGCAGCAAAGCGAATGGGACTCACAGGAGGTGTCCCCTCTCCTGAGCTCTGCCTCTGCCCCTGGGCTCTGTTGGCCTGAGCTACAAAGCTTGGGAGCTTCCAGAATTCCCAGAGCCAGCCCAGCCCACCACCGCCCAGGGTAAGCATCCAGAGCAGTGCATGACTGTCCCGCCCCAGGTACAGGTGGTGGAGCCCAACAGGGCCCCCCTACAGCCCAGAGGGCATAGGTCACCAGGAGCCCCTTGGCCATCCTCTAGGGAAAGGGTCTCAGAACAAGTCCAGTGGCACCTGACATTTCTCAGTGTAGAAATCTGGGGTCCCCTGTGGGAATCATGGCCCCAGAGTTATCCTTAGACCCTTAGAGATGGAAAAAGGCAATTGTTAAGACTATATCCAGGTCAACACAATAACCATTTCTTTTCCAATAACCATCAAGGGCAGATCTTCCTGAGTGTCCCTGAAATGCTAGTTCTCTCATACCCTTCAGTCTAGCACCTCATTTCTGTTTTTTTGTTTTGTTTTCTTACAATGACTCCGAATTAGGGGAGTGTGTTTCAAATGCTTTCAGTTGAGTAACTGAGAACTCAGCACACAGACAAAAAGCAGAAGCTTAAATTTCAGACCATTGACCTGCAGGAGTGAACAGGAGTGCGTACAGGGTCCTTCTAAAGTTCCTACACATTTTGAAAGTACCCAGTCCCTCCCCACATCACCCCCAACTCCGACTGTGGCTGCCCTCAGACACTTGGCCAAGGCTTTAGGCCGTCTCCAGCCTCCCCAACTCTCCCAGCCACAGAAACTTCCACACATCAAACCTGAAAGAGGTCCTGAATTCTCTCCACTTAAACCGCTCGGGAAAACTACTTTTTGACCTAGATTCTGCCACTCCACAGTTGAACCACCTCTTTCCATGGCGGACTTGGAAAGTCTCTCCAGGGCGGCTAGATGACTCCCCAGAATACCAAGCCAGTTGCCAAAGCGTGTCTGCCAGTCTGTCCCCACCGACCACCAGCCAATACCCAGACCACGAGCGGCTGTACCTGGGTACCCCGGCTTCCAGACCCGGTCAGACCAGTCATTTCCCCTGACTACAGGTCCAAGATGGCCCCTCTCACTCAGCTCCCATTTCCATCCAAATGAACTTTGTCTTTCTGTGTTTGCTGTGTCACGGCAGTAGGGCGGTTCAGGCCAGGCCCCTCCCCAAGGCCTTCCTCGGTGCCCGCGGGATCACCTTTCAACCTCAGGCTCCTCCCGGGTAATCTCGGTTTAAGGATTTCTGGGCGTATCCTGCCTCCCCATGCTCAAAGGTGCTGGCGCAGAGCCCCATTCCCGGCCGAGTGCCCCTGCACCGTGGCACCGCGGCCGCCAGGTGGCGCTACAGGTCACGGCAGGGCTGGGCTGGGTGTGTCCCCAGACTCACCTCGTCCAGAGGCAGGCAGCCCACAGAAGTCTCCTATAAACGTAAAAATAAGCCTTTGGTCCCCCTTTCCACCCCCGCAAGTGAGAAGGTGACTCCTTCCTCACCCCCAAGGTGCACTCTCCTCTCCGTTGCCCTTCAAGGCTGCCTTGGATAGCTACGCTTTCAATTCCACTAGGGCAGAGATACCCAAGGATAGGCTGCAGAGAGGAACCCCACCACCCCGAGTTTGCCTCACTGCCCCGCCTCCAGGCGTACAGGACTTCACATCTAGACCTGAGCCTGAGACCTGAGGAGCCTCCTGATCCAGCGGGAGACAGATCTGCTATATTCTGGGGATTATGGGCCAGTGGGAGAAGCAGGAGCAAAAAGGGATAGATGGGAGAGGCATCCAACCAGGAGAGCGAGGTTGCAGCCTGAGAGTAGTCTGTCTTCCTCCAGCCTCGCTGCTGGGATGGAGCTGGGATGCACGATGCCTTCATTTAAGTGTTCTGGGCTGCAGTACTGGTTTTGCTACGTGACCTTGGCCAAGTCACGCTGCTGCTTAGGCCTGTTTCCTTCTGTGTAAAGGAAAGGCTTGGATCTCCAAGGTCCCCCGGCCTTGAGTTGGAGGTCGGGTGGGCCTGGTGGGCCTCATCCAGATCGCCTCCCCGCAGTAGGCAGAGCGCTTCTGTTCCTTCCACATTCCCAGCCCCCAGAGCCATCATCCCCTCCCGGGAAGGGAAGGCGGCTCACCGCAACGCCCCTTAGGGCTCACTGAGGGGCCAGGGCAGGGAGGGCCCCAAAGTGACATGGGAACCGCCAGCTGGGGGCGGGGGTGGACGGGCCTCTGAATAATGAATGAGACTTAATTGGGCCCGCACTGCGCGGCGGCGAGCTAAGCTCGGCAAACAGCTCCGGCGGCCGTCGCCGCCGCTGGACAAACAAACTAGCAGGCTCAGGGAGCAAGGCGGGGGAGGCAGCGGCGAAGCGGGAGGGAAGGGACGGCCGCCTGGTCCCGGGCTGCCGCGTACAGCCGCCTCTAAGCAGGAGGAACGCGGGACTGCGGGCGCTAACGCTGGCCTCGCGGAGAATGGGGGTCCTGGAGGAGGCTCGGGGCTCGATCTCAGGCCGGGAGGACTGGGAGCAAGGGAAGCAGATTGTGCTGTGGAGCCGGGGGCCCAAGGGCGACAAAGAGCACGCGAAAAAGATGGAGAAACGAGCACAGGGCGGAGGAGAGGGAGAAGTGAGAGGGGAAAAAGCGCACCGGGGGAGGGCCGCAGGGCGTGGAGGCGGGAGAAGAGCTGTTACCGGGCGGAAAGGGAAGAGCGATGAAGGAACAATCGCAGGGAGGCGCGAGGGGCCGGGAGAAGAGGAATTGGGAAGAGTAGGGGAGAGGAATGGGAGGTGACCGGAATGAGAACGAGAGGGCGGCTGGGCGGGCGGGAGGCGCCCCTGTCTCCGCCTCGCCCCGCCGCGCTCCCGCCCTGGCGCTCTCTCCAGCCGCCCGCACTCACTTTGTCACAATTACGTGGCCGTCACTCCGCCCGAATTGTTTTCCCCAAATTGTTGTTCTATAAACTGGCGCGGGGTGGGGAGTGGGGGGTCTGACAAGCTGCAGGGGGGCCGGGGTAGGGGGAGGGTCTGAGCTGCGATGGAGATTTGGAGAGGTATTCATTCACCCACAAGCGGACCCCGGGCGGGCACTTGAATCCTAAGACCCACGCGGGAATTCTGGCTGCTGCCCCAGCCTCGTCGCTGACTCTGCTTTAATCTTTCTCAGCTGTTCTTTCTCAGCCTCAGCTGCCTCGGTTTCCCCAGCAGAGAACTGCGAAGATTGAAAGACGGGGCGGCGGAGGCAGGTGTAGGTGGGGACCAAACTTCCTCACCCCATTCTCTTCTGTTTTTACCACCCTCGTCACTGCGAGAGGGAGTCGATCCCAGCTCAGCCATCCTCAGGGCGCCCTCGGGTGCTAGCTCACCCGCTGGATGGCCAGACTCCCACCACCGCCAAGTCTGTGCAGCCCCTGCCCAACCCGCGTCCTCCAGCCCCAGGCTCCCCGCCGCTCAGTGCTCCAAGCGACCTTGCTGCCCCTCAATTCCGCAAACATCTGTTGCAGCCCCCTGTGAGCCAGATCCTCGCCAGCCTTCCCCCCTTCTCTGCTACCCACCCCTTCCCGGCCCGCCCGGGCTGTCGGCTTCGTGACAGCCACTGCGAAGCCCAGGCCCCGCGGGAGCGGCCGGAGAGGAGCCTCCGCATGGCTGGCTCCGACACCGGTCTCCCGGGCAGCTTCAGGGGCAACGGAGGGTGGCGGCCGCTGAAGCGAGACCAGAGCCGGCCCGCAGAGTCGGCAGAGCTGGGCGGGGGGGAAGCCCGGAGCGAGCTTGTCTCCCAGTCTTTAAGCCCTGTCGTTCTCCTTATTCCATTGCCCTGGGGTTTGTCCAGAGTCGTGACCCCGCCTGGCTCCGCGCGCCTAGGACCCAGTTGGCTCCCGCGCCTCCTCCCCCAGTCCGGGTGATTTACACACGGACTCGGCTCAGAGGCCGCTTCCCAATCAGGAATATCGACCCCGGGCGGGGCCCCCGGGCTGCATCGATCCCTCTAAGGCTCGGGATTTAAAAATGTCAAATTTGCCTTTTCCAGGCGGGCGGAGGGAGCGGGGCCTGGAGAAGGGCGGCTTGGGTTAGGGGTTGGGGGGGGGGGCGGACAGCAGGGCATTGACCAGGCGCCTGTGCCCTGAATGAGAAGCGACCGGGCTGGGCCGGGCCCTGACACTGCATGGCCATCCTTGGGTTGCAGTCGCCTCTGTATGGGGCAGGAAGGAAGCCCCATCTCCACGGGCCTCACTGTTACCCTGGGGTATTCCAAGAGGAACAAAGAGAGACCCCAAAATGTAGGGAGACAAATTTGTAAGAGACTCCTAAAGGTGGAGAACCAAGGAGAGGTGCAGAGACAAAGGTATAGAGGCTCCAAACGATACCCTAGCTATAAGGAACAGCAAGGCAAAGGGAAAGTGGCTGAAAGACACACTGAGCAGAGCAGGGGACTAGACCCAGAATTACCCCAACTCTCTTCCCTATAGACACAGAAGCCAGGAAAGTGGTCAAACTTAACCTTTTGATTTTAGAGTGGGGAAAGAGTGTAGACAAAGACAGATGAAAAGAGAGTGTTATTAAGGAAAGGGATTAGAATATAATTAGCATTATCCTCCTAAGGTCCAAAAGATAGAGATCCCAGGAGCCTCTAGCCCAGGCCCCAAAGAGGTGGGCTCTCTCGGAGGTCTAATTGTATGATCCCTTCCTGAGATCCACCTCCTCCTCTCTAACCACGGCTAGCCTGAAGAAGCTGGGTGGCTTGCAGATCACATCTTATATTGGAAACTGTTTGTATATGTGATGGAGACTGTATATGTGTAGGGATGTGGACATAGAAAACTCTGGCACTAACCACTTCCTTCCCCAGGACTCAACAACTGAGTATCCAGACTTTGGAAAAACACATCCACTACTTTCAGTATACTCAAGGAAAGGACGATGTTTGAGGTGGAGGTGGTGGAAAGGAGACCAGCACCCTCACAGTTAACATTTATCCCCCACCCCCAGGAGCATACTTCAGCTGTCACCATGCACACTGCCATTTCCTACGGAACTGGAGACAGAGAGCAGACAGCAAGTGGTGGTGGTGGTGGAGGGTGCACAGGCGCACAGGGAGAGGCAGCGGCTCATCCTTGGACAAGGCAGCACACACCTCCACTGACAAAATCAGGCCAACACATCCCTAACACTGACAGTACAGTCAGGGACTTCCACCTGCAACCCACACCTATCAACCCCTGTCACATACACCACCTCTGTGTGTGCCTACACTCACAATTTCTCCCAGGTCAGGCCAAAGCGCCTAGTCCTAAGGCCTTTCCACACCCTCTCTCTACATCTTAGACCTTAAATCGCCTAACCTCAGGAGAGGGTTTAGGTGCCCCGTCCCTGCTCCCCAAATTCTGCAACCAGGACCAGCTCCAACAGCAGACAGGCCGAGCTCAAGGAAGTCAAGTATCAGGGTCGAGCCGAAGAACCCGGAGCCGACAGGGCGGTGGGCTGTTAAACACTCCCTTGTGCCCCTCCTGCCACTGGCCTCTTTCCCAGCACGTCCACTAGCAGCCCGCCCGGCCCATCGCCCGCCTGTCAGTCGAGTAATGAATGCGCGCTCCGGCCCCGGACCACCCCACCCCCGGAGTCGTTCATCACTGCCAGCCACCGCCCACCTCTCCGCCGCCCGTCAGGAGGGCTAAGCGGCCCAGGCGGCGGAGAGCCCCTTTCCCCCCAAACTCGACCACTAATTGTCAGATTGAGATGTTGATTTGTCAGCTGGGAGCTAGCGCCAAGGAATCCGCAGTAAAACCCGGACTCCTTCAACTTCCTCTCGGCTCCATTCGGGCTCGCCCAGCCTCAAAGCTTTTCTGCATTTGATGCGGATAGGTTGGATTTCACTTAAATCTGGGAATAGAAGTGCGTTTCGCTCTATTCCGATAGGAGGCGCACCAAGCTACAGACCCTCAGTTTCCCTGCAGGGCCTGATCTTGGGCGCAGTTTCACTTGTATAGACCCAAGGCCCTAGGGGTTCGTCCCCAGCCTCCCAGC